GTGTTTGGGAATTCTTAATATTCTCTAAGTTATAAGGATAGGGTAGGGTAGGGTAGGCCCAAATACCAGTAGCAGAGCTTATGCTTTTTCTGTAACATTAAGACGAAAACCGCAAGACTAAGACCCAGTCTCGTTCATCACTTAACACAAAGAAGATGTCCGTTTGTTTCTGCAATATAGTGTCAATTTGCTGACAATTCAGCCATTAACAGTTTTTCGAAAGGAGAGAAACGCATTATCATGTTCATAACAACTGAGAAGAATCGACTTTTATGATAATTTTGACGTTGTTGCCGAGTTTATTATAAATTTTTAAGTCCAATGAATTTCGATATAAATTTATGGCGATGTCTATTCAGTAGCAGAGTACTTTCCGATCGGGTATTATAAGTGTGGTTATGCAATACCGTAGGGATATTGCTGATGAATTTCAAGTAGTACTTGATAGAGGTATACGCATGATAGTAGCATAATACGATGTTTCATAAAAAGTGGTTCTTATGGCCCTTTTCTGAACTCTAAATGTTTCAATAGCTTGTGATGATCCATTCTATATAATTGCACCATAACTCAGTATAGAATGAAAGTTAGCGAAATATATGATAAGTACAATTTTTGCAGGAAAAGATTTCTTCAGTTGTCTTGAGAGAAAAATCTGTTTACTTAACCGATTACATAGATCATCGATATAACGTTTCCACTTTAGTTCCATATCAATAGTGACATCGGACTATACTAGAGTTTATGAGTTTTTGAATTAATATTGGGTTTCTGCTTTTTTTACAAGAGATAGTTGTTAAGTGGTAATGATGCGCATAAGCCAGAATAATGAAATTCATTATTGTCGCAAAATTTGTGGTTAATGTATCTGCAAAATTTCCGTTGAACAGTTTCAACCATATCTATGGATATGGCATGCATAATTAGGACACCATACTGAAGCAGCATATACTCTTAATATGATCTGACATAGAAATTGTATACAAAAGTTTTATTGGCATTAATGGTCTAAAAGCCCCTTGTGCTGCGTTTCACAACACAAAGCATGCATAAAGCATTGTTGATTGCATTGTCAATATGAGCTGAAGAGTCTAGATTTGAGGTTAATAGCACACCTAAGTCTTTGATTTGATCCACGCAGTCTAATGGACTATCATCAATGTGATAGACGAAGTTATTGAACTTTCTAGACTTTGCATTTGAGAACATTAAGACCATGCTATTGGCATGGCACCATTGTGACTCAATCTGCCTAGATCTTCTTGAAGTGCTAAAAGTCTTCTGGGAAGGTTATTTTTAGAAACAGCTTCAAGTCATCAGCAAACAGAAGAAAAAGCCTATGCTCAAAACAAGATGAAATTTTCTTGAAAAAGATGTTGAATAGAAGGTGGGCCCTGGGGGACGCCTGATGATACTAATATTTGAGATGTAAAGTCGTTAAGGTCTACCATTTCAGTCCTACCTGTGACATAGTTCTTTATATAGTGTAGTAGAGAACCTGAAACGCCCAAGGTCTCTAGTTTTTTAATCAAAACTTCGTGGTGTCAGACACCTTGGAGAAGTTTACATGTCCACATAAGTGAGGAAATTTTCTGTAGAAGAGTGTTTTTTGAAACCAAACTGGTAGTGTATAATTTCAGGTCCAAGGCAAGATGTTAAGAATTTTGACTATATTTTCAAATATTTTTGGAATAGCATTGAAAATACTCATAGGGCGATAATTGACGTTTTCAATTAAAAGAGATGGACAATATGGTATTAAAACATTCATATTCCCGCCAACATTTGCTTGCTTGTCAATGTAAATGTGTATTGGATGTTTCCCCTGGTTTTTATTCTAATCGGTGACTTCACCGATGAGATAGGTATCCTTGTTTACTGAATGAAAAATGACAATGACCGACATAGAAATGTGAAATTTGAAATGAAAATGTGGGAAGCAAACAGTTTCCGCAAACTAAACATGAATTACTTTGTATACTTGATGAGCCGAGGATTTTCCTTTCTTTTCGAGTATCCTCTCTGATTTTGTGTATCCAAATTTTGACAAATGTAGGATTTGATAAAAACTTATGGAAAGACACGTCCGCCGGTGAATAGGAATTATTTTCACGAAAAGGCCCACTACACACAATCACCATTGTTAGGAAAAAACCTTGAAAAAACCGAGGGAATAATAGTTTCCAGTCTCCACACATATTAAAGTCTTGTCAACAAACCACTGTCAGCGTCTGACAGTTTGACGCCAGGGGCCGGATTCTCGTCTAAGGGAGTAGAGCTCCCTGATAGAATGAATGTTTTGTTATTGTCAACGTAATCGAAAAGCAAACAAGAATGATAAAGACGAAAAATGTGTTCTCTCGGGAAGTTCTACTCCCTGGCCCGAGAATCGCCCCCCAGAGAGAGAGGCTTCTAAGGGCGAGTTCTCATGAGCGTAAGTTGACATTTCTGGCGTAATCACGTGATAATAAGGTGTAATTTGATTGGTAAAATCTCCAGCATGGCGAATATTTTACCAATAAAATCCAACCATTTTATCACGTGATTCCGCCAGAAATGTCAACTTACGCTCATGAGAACTCGCCCTAAATTGAAAAGGTCAATTAGTCATTTTTTGAATCATCTGGACTGGGACTATGTAACGAATAGAGACCGTTGTTTCTATCTTTATGGCACTTGCTGTCTTCTCTCTTTTCGAAATCAATAGAGAAGAGACGTCAATAGAGATAGAGAAAATATCTCTATTCGTTACATAGTCCAAGTGCAGATTTGTGGATAGGTACCACAAAACTTGATTCCCAGAAGTCTGGAAATATATAGTCTTGTAGTTATTTGTTGAAAATTATATGCAGAGGTCGAGATAGACCAGAAGAGCCGTTTTTTAGAAACAGTGGATGAACCTTAGTGTCGATATCTGAAATTACAATATTGAGGTTAAAAAGGTTATGGGGGCCTGAAGAGGGATGATCTGGCATATCCAAAGAGTTATCTCTAAGACTGAGAAGAAGTATTCAGCAGAGTTCAGCTGCTTATGGGACCTGATTTTTCATTTAGGGTGTAGCTGGGTGGTTGTTTACTGGAGTTTTGTAGGGAATTTGTGTATGACCAGAAAGCTTTGGGATTGCGCCAAAGAGATGCCTCCGTTTCCTGGGATATAGTTTTGAAGACACTGCTTTAACAGCAAAATACATTGAGATCGCAAGTTAGAATATGTTTGGTATAATTGCGGGGAAGTTTGCTTACATTAAATTTTTTATGAACAATCTTTTTTTGTATTGTGACTGATTTCAGAGGTCTTGCGAGAACCATTTGGGAAATTTCCTACTAGCATTTTTTTTTCTTTGGTAGAAAAATATCAAATGTATTATATAACATATCATAGAACATTTCTCCAGCAAACAGATCGTCCCACAAAAAGAGTTCTAGGTAGGTACATCATTGATGTCATTGAAATTTACTGACTTGAATCATAGTAGCAATCATCTCCATAGGCACTTGGCTTGTTATATGCTTTGGATTTAGATCAATTTTTAGAAGCCAGAGCGGATGGTGGATGTCCTCAAGGAGAATACACACTCTAAGGAGTGCTTATCGGCCTCGTTTTTGGTAATCGCCGCCATATTGGTGTGATACCATTTCCGACGTCATAACTAAGTCGTCAGTTGTTTTAACAGCTTAAGTCGAGAGGAGAAATAACATGCTGCCTACGTCACAACTGGTTTTTTTGCGCTGGGGGGAAGGGGGGGGGGGGATTTGTTATATACACGCCTTATGAGGATAGGCCATCTTGTAATAGTAGTGTGTATCATCCTTGGGGTGTCCTGCTACCATTTGAGCAGGTAATCTTCAATGCCAAGTCAGGATGTGTGATTGGCAGCTTTGAGTGACATAAAATCAGATCAAGAATGACATTCGAATGTCATTAATCTGGTATAAGTTGTGAAATGCAAATGAGCAGATCTCTGATAATACTTGTATTATACCAGTTCCAGCGGGAGGCAGGTAGCCATCTTGTGGATGTTGAGCTGATGAGCAGAGATCTTCCATAGTCCATGTGGCCTTTGGGAGATTGAAGTCCCCCATCATGCCGAGACTGGCATTGCTAAACTGTTGAGATATTTCTCCGAGATCGTTTCCAAAGCTTTCATACTTTTCTAACGGTATTTTAATTAAAAAAGACACTGAACCATTCAGTAAATTTGTTGTAACCAACCAAATCTTGTATGTAAATGAGAAGCTACAGAATGGTATCAGAACTGATTTGATTATCTGATCATTGTAAATGCTCAATTTTTCATTATTCCCGGCTCTTTGAGATATCTTTAAGTCCCCTTGAAGACAGACGTCTTTTTGAATATCGTTTGTAGACATCTTAGGGACGTTTTTAAGATGTATGTATTTTTACTGTCTGGGTTGAATTGAACTTCTAGAGAAGATTGAAGAATAAAGTTATAATCACTAATCAGACCACGAGAATAATGAAGACAATATCACGCAAAAACAATTTAGCATGGATATGTAGAAAGGATATTAAAGCATCGAATTCCAAGACTTATCCTAAAATAAGTCCTTATAAAGACGAAAAAAAAAGGAAATCCTACAAGATCAGGAAATTGGCAAGATAAAGAAGAGCTGGAAACCATAGAACGCTGAAGATTATCTAGGAATTGTAAAATACCAAGTACGAAGAACTTGAAGCAATCAACGAAAAATTAAATCAATCTACCAGATGAATTATTCAACATCTTTAGAAGATTTGGAACCATCTTCCAAAGTATAGTAATTTGAGCTGAAACCTCGCAAAAGCAACATCGCATAGGTTGTCAAACAAATACTGGAGATGAGACACCATCAACCACTTTTGAGTTTATCCATAAATCAATTCAGACTGTGTCTTCAAACTTTGAAGTACATAGATATATTATAATTATAATTCAATTTATTGTCAAACAAGAAAATGACTAAAACGTTAAAATATCTAGAAACCCTCTTGTACTTACCTATAAAAATAAATCAAAACGTCAGCCTTGTCGCTGTCCACCTCCGTAAAGCTCAGCTTTGAATGTTTGGACCATACTGCCAGAGCTTTGGATATCACGTAGCGCACTTCGTACGGATCCAAGTCTTGAAATTGTTTGGTCCTCAAACTGTAAACAAAAATAAACGATTTTTATAAACCAAATTGCCTTTGATGGATCCCATATAACTATAGAATCGATTTTAATTGGGCCAAAATTACCATTTGGCCTCTGTCTGTGTATAATATCGTCAACATCCATGCATGATATTATATTATAGTTGAATCACAGGCTTGATTTAATTACAAATAGTTTCTATAGGGGCACATGGCTGCCAATTTAAACCAAATCAAAGTTAATTTAAAGTTTTTGTTTCATATATGAATAATTTGTTTTTATTGATCAAATTATTGGTTATTTTGTTGATGAAACCATGCTCAATCGCTCACTCAAGGAGGTTGTGATGGATTGAATTACACATCACACCCAGGTTGAGTGAGTTATCAAACAGGCTTTCACAAATTTCCTCCGTCTGCTCCTCCAGTAATCAGGAAATAGAAAAATGATTTTATTTTCCATGCCAATTTCCTTTGCTGCCACCACCCATTTTTTTTTATCGACTCGGTTTGTGTATTTCGTCATTTTCCAAGGCGAATCCGGCTTTTAACAAGTCGCCCAAGGCGTCGCGTCGGGATCGAAATCTAATCAGCCAGAAACTTTGCGTAGATAAGCTAATGAAGGTGCATGGTGCACATAAAAGGAAAATGTTGACGCTACAATTTGGTAGATGCAAATAGCTAAAGATAACTTATCTGATGGCGATGTTTCAGATGATTTTTCTCAGCTGCTATGGAAATTTTATTGAATGTTATATTTGATTACTTTACTTTATTATAAAGTTCCATATAGAGCCTTTTGAATTTTTGTTTTCCTTCAAAATTGTCAGGTTGAAGTAATTTGGATGTTAATATCAACTGTTTCTGGGCAGTTTAATAATTCTGTATCGATTCTTTCAAATTTTAAAAAAAATGTTCACAAGATCTTCAATAATTTACCATTGCCCTAGAAATTTAACATGGAACAGACCTATATTGATTGACAGGATTTAGAAAAAAAACTACCCGCATTATAACAAACACAATTTTTATTGAAAAATACTCAATAACATACGAGAACGTGGTCGTTAACTGGGTTTTTATTTATTCATCAGCGTTAATTGTGGAACTTTATTGCGTAGAGCTCTATTATAGAGCACATTGCTCTTGAAACATTAAAACTAATTGACACAAACTTTTATGTAAGTACAATGTTGTCGGTTCGAATTTAACCCGGAATGGTTTTAATAAACGTTTAGCGTGATTTAAAGCGCCACTTTCGAGTTTGAAAACGCCTTTGGCAATTTCGAATATTGACTTTCCGAAGGAAATAATTTTATGAGAAGTTGCAATTTTGTTTGAGTTTCCTTTTTACTTGTGACAATGAAATAAATTGAGTCGGTCAGATAATGTCAAGTTTTAGATTTGAGTCTTTTAAGATTGTTTCTTTCAAGTAATTTGTTCTATTGGTAATATAATCTATCACAGATTGCTGGAATTTTGTGTTATGCCATTTCAATCATATTGTAATGCGAAAATAAATTGGCCAATCTTCATTGACATCAACATCTTCATTTATGAAATCTCTGAGTTAAGCTTTCCAACATGATTGTGTCAACTAACTATCAATTGTAATTCTTCATAGAATTTTCCTTCCTCTTTCCTCTCTCCATTTTTCAATTTTTTCATCTCAATATTTGTCTATAGATATAAATATTTCAGGTTTTTATCTACGAATTTCAATAAATTTTGTCTCCTTATTTCTCATTCTTCTATCTATTCCAGGCTCTTGGATTTTTCTTTTTTTTTTTTCAACCATTTTTCTGCACAATTTTTGTCTATTCCTGGCTCTTGAAATTCTATTGTCTACAAATTTTTACATGTAAAAAAAATTCTACAGCCTGGAATTTTGACCCACTCTATCGATTGGTAAAGTCAAAATTTGAGCACATTTCTAGAATTTGTAGCTCTTAATAAGCTTTAAAAATCCTGTAATTTACAATATTCCTAGGTTTATAGTTTGTGAGCAAATTGAGTTTGAAGTTTTTGGCAAAATTTGGACTGAAAATCAACTTTGAGGATCAATTACTCAAAAACTATCTGAGCTATTAAACTCAATTTTCCACGGATTTATAGAGAATTTATTGCTCTTTCCAATGATATATAATTAATTTCAATTTGCTCAAAATTTAACAAAGATATGGGCAATTGCTCATGATCATGTCAAGATTTTGAAAATTTACCAGAGCCAAAAATAAGACTTCCTTTTTATTTTTGTTTCTGTTAAAAATAGCCATTTGAAAGTGATGTCAGGATTGTTTCTCACTAATTTTGACCCGCTCTACCGATTGGTAAACTCAAAATTGAACCAAAACCCCTTTTCACGTGGCTCCGGTTTAACAAACCGCAACATACCGCTCAAATTCGAGTAATATCGATCACGTCACTTTGTAACGGGTTCAGAAAACGGTATGTCATACTTGCCATACCGTTACTAAACGTTTTGTAACCCGGTTAGTTGAAACGGAGCCACGTGAAGGACTAAAACGAAAAATAAAAAAATCGAGTTTTTTGTAAGGGAAACCCCTTTGAATTTTAATTCCAAAATCTTCAAACCTCAATTGCTTGGTAACCGTTGGGCAAATTGCATTGCAATTTTCTGCATCTCAAGCTCTTATTAAGCTCTAAATGCTCTATAATTTACAATATTCCTAGGTTTATAGTTTTTGAGCAAATTGAGTTTGAAGTTTTTGATAAAATTTAGATTAAAAATCAACTTTGAGACTCAATTGCTCAAAAAATATTTGAGTTATCAAACAGATTTATGGAGAATTTATTGCTCTTTCTGATAGTATATAATTTATTTCAATTTGCTCGAAATTTAACAAAGATATGGGCAATTATTCATGAACATGACAAGATTTTGAAAATTTTTTGGTTTCTGCTTAAAATGGCGATTTGGAAATGATGTCAGGGTTGTTTTCCACTAATTTTCACCCACTTTATCGATTGGTAAAATCAAAATTGCGCAAAACTGAAAAATTGAGTTTTTCATAAGGGTACCCCCTTTGAATTCTGCTTTCAAAATATTCAAACCTCAATTGCTCAGTAACCGTTGAACAAATTGCATTAAAATTCTTAGCATTTGTAGCTCTTAATAAGCTCTAAAAACCCTGTAATTTACAATATTCTCAGGTTTATAGTTTTTGAGCAAATTGAGTTTGAAGTTTTTGACAAAATTCGAATTACAACTTTGAGGCTCCAATTGCTCAAAAACTATTGTAGTCATCAAACTCAATTTTACACAGATCTATAGAGAATTTAATGCTCTTTCCAATGGTATGTAACAATGTAACTTATTTCAATTTCCTCGATTTTAACAAAGATATGGACAACATGTTTCATGTCAAGATTTTGAAAATTTTCTAAAGCCAAAAATAGGATTTTCTTTTTATTTTTATTTCTGTTTAAAATGGCCATTTGGAAGGACCCGCCCTATCGATTGGAAAATTGAGCAAAACTAAAAAATAAAAAAATTGAGTTTTCTGAATCCTAAAAGCCAACTTTGAAACTCAATTGCTTAAAAACTATTTGAGCAATCACGCTCAACTTGGCACGGATTTATAGAGAATTTATTGCTTTTTCCAATGATATACAATTTATTTCATTTTGCTCAAATATCCAACGAAGATCTGGGCAATTATTTCTAACCGCGCCTTAAAAAGTTAAGGCTGTAGGTATGGATTTGAATATAATCAAATACCCTGTACCTGGTGTACCTATTTTGGAAACAAGCCTCGCTTGATTTTTAGAACTGAGACTGAGATATACAAAATTTTACTAAATACCTACTTAAAATTTTATTTGATTCTACATACTTCAAGTAATGCCATTTTACTTGAAGCAATACTTGAAGTAATTTTGGTACTTCAAATATCTAAAATCTGTTCAAAAAAGACGGTAGACAAGTAGGTACCTAGACACATCTTTTTTCTATTAAAGGTTCTTGAACTTCACCTAAAAATCATTTGAGGAAAAATGAAAATTCAAAAGCCGGGAATAGACAAGAATTGGGACGAAGAAAAATGACAAAAAGAGAATTTAATAAAAATTGAAAAACAAATATATTTTTTTCTATTTCACTTGTTTTCGACAAGTTTATTTTTTGAAAAGCAATTGACGAAAATAAAAATTCAAGAGCTGAAAATAGATAAAAATTAAGACAGGGAAAGAGGAAATTCAATGAAAAATGAGAAAAAAAAAAATTGTGAAGCAGAAATAAATTTTTTCTATGAAAGGCTTTTATTTTCTTCACTAAGAAAAATTTAGTAAATCGAAAATTTCAAATTCAGAAATAGACAAAAATGAAAACGCATAAATTGAGAACTGAAGAGGAGAAATTCAGGAATAATTGAGAAGAAATTCTAAAGCCAGGAATATACGTAAATTATTAAAGAAAAATTGCTTTCCAACATGTCAACTATCAATTGTAATTCTTCATAGAAACTTCTTTCCCCTTTTCTTTCTCCATTTCTCAATTTTTTTTTTCATCTCAATATTAATTTGTCTATAGATATAGATATTTCAGGTCTATCTAAGTACCTACCAATTTTGAAGAAAAATTGAGAACTGAAAAGAGGAAATTCAAGGATGATAGAGAAAAACATTGTAGAAAATTGGCATATATTTTTCCTTTTTTGTTCAGAATGTACACTATTTAAAGAAATTTGAAAAAACAGGCAATTTCAAAAGCCAGGAATAGAAAAATTTAGACCTAAGAAAAATGACAAATAGAGAATTTAATTTTTTTCAAAAAAAGATGGTATAGACAAACAAACAAAATTTGATTTCAATAGTCAAGAAGACGGAAATTGAGACGAAAAAATCAATAAATGAAAAGAAAAAATTTAGGAACAATGGAAGAGAAAAGACTTAGCTAAGGTACCTTGAATTAAGGATAACAACGTTATTATTCTGTACCTTAAGGTGACATTGAAATACCAGCCTTTATTTCGCAGTAGGGATGCGCAAAAT